ATTTTGCGTTCTTATTTCTACAAAAAAGTGACTATGCACCACAGTGGATACACCATATGCCGCAACTCATGGCACAGAGAAGTCTTGCCTAAGCACATTGGCACACATGCATTACGACGGATCATCCACAAGTAATAATGTGTGGTACAAAACCTGCCCTTTCGATTTTCTTCCTCTTTCCATATTCGGGTGACCCAACTTCACTTCGGATTCGCATCTAGCTAAAATTACAACCAAACACACCCATTAAACCTTTCTGGCCACACACCTCACTTAATAAACTCAATTACTCTAATCAAACTTAGTTAATTAGATTTTAAAATTTAAGGATGTTACAAGATGACATAAATTTCCATATCAATACCACAGACACAAAATTGTGTAGCGGATGTGTTAGGTAAAGAAGGTCTCCATTTTTCTTCTTTGCTTGCGATGATTCCATGTTATTTACCAGACCTTGTTTCTAGAGAGTCTCTAGAATCTCCGTATTATTCAATTTAGTTTCTACCTTTAGCCCCCTCTTGTCGCCAAAAAAAAAAACATTTGAAAGCCTTTTTGATATATAACTAATATATTTTTATTATCAATATCATTATTTAATATTAAGTTATTAGTATTACTTCACCGTTATATTTAAAAGTACAAAGGATATTTTTGAATTTCAAAAACATTTTTTTTTATATTGAGAATGATAGTGAGGAACAACATGGTAGATTTTTTATAAATTGCCATATATGTTTATAGTTTATCCCGTACTTTTCTAAATCTGTGATGTTTATTCCCGTGCTTTATTTAACCTTGCATTGTTTGGAGCCCTAAATCATTTTTCTTCTTGGCCAAAGAGCCATAAGCGAATAAGATCCTTTTTTAAAAAAAAAAAGGAAAAAAAAAGAAGAAAGAAGAGACTGAGAAGCATATAAAGTTAACGAACAACAGATGATGATGTAGTGGATGAATTAACATGGATATTTTATTATGGAATGGGTTTGGGATAAAGAACGGATTTATTTGGCCGAAAAAAAAAATTCTTAATCAATTATTTTCTTCCATTTCCTGTGATCAGAAAGAGCAAATGCCATTATTTCATTAATTTTGATATCATTTAATTTATGTAAATGGATCCGACTTTGAGGGACAGTCTATACTAGAAGCTCATACAACCAAATTTTTCCAAAGCCCGTTCTTCTCTGCATCTTGATGCAAGTAATTAATCCAAGTAACAATATCTCTCCAAATTGGTTTAGAACAGAAATGGACCCTTAGCACATCCTCATTTATTGTCACAGTTCTCATGCATCAATACTTTTTAGCTTGGGAGAATTAACATCAAGGTTCTAAATTTTGACCAACAATATAACTCAATTCCTATAAATTTAATTATTTAAACATTAATTGATCAGTAACAAGTTAATGTTCAAGAGATAACTATATGGTTTTATTTTTTATTCATTTATAGTTTTATTTTTTAAAATATAGGTACTGATTTTTTTATATTTCTTATAGAGATTCTCTTATCGAAGACAATCTTATTCGATACATGTTTAAATACTAAATGTGAGCACGTCTCCCAAAAATAATTTCAAAAATGATTCAAATTTTGGTTCATTAAAAGACTAATATTTTCTACTAGAGTCAATTCTGTTGATATAAAAATTAATATTTTAAGTGGTTAAAATTCTAGTAATTGAGTAGTCAAATCAAATCAAAATTATAGAGATTAAAATAGATGAAATTTAAGAAGTAAATTTTTATTAAATCAAAATTATAGTGATTAAAATTTATAATATTATAGGGAGAATTATAATAAAGACTCATTGAATACATTTATTTAAATTCAAATCTCTAAATTTCTTAAAATTATACTATAATTTAGGGGTACTGATTTAATATTAAATTTTTAAGAAAAATAATAGACTTGCCTCTCATTTAAATTAATATCAGAATTTTCTTGCTTTATTTGTTCATTGTCCTACTTTACTTTTTAATTTACTTACAAAATGATGTTAATTATCCTATTTAACTTATTTTTATTTTAAATATTGAATCATCTTAAGATAACTTATTGATTCTTATATTATATGTTGTTTATTTATTTACGAACTGGTTCATTGCTAGACTTTCATTTGATTTCATTCCAAAAAAATAATTAAGTGAAATAGAACAATTAACAATATTTTATAAATAAATGAGTAACTGAAATGATGTAATTCTGATATTAATTTAATGAAAGATAATTTTATTATTTTTAAAAAATTTAATATTAAATAAATATTCTTAAACTATAATAAAATTTTAAAAATTTAAAGAATTTTAAATTTAAATAAATGTGATGAAAGAATCATTATTAAAATTCTTCCAAAATTATAATTATGCTTTCAGAGTTTACCCCACCTGGGTCAAAAGTTGTTTTGCCGTTTCAGCAAAGGCCGACTGATGCAAAAGGTTTGGTACTTTCGCTGCTGAGCATGTCGAGGTGGGACTTTTATTTTATTGCTAGGCACTAGGCACAGGCACCACACAAGCTATGCCATAGGCATAAAGTGAGAGGGATATATTATAAAAAAATAATAATAATAATGAGTAGCTCATAAACATTCCTAGTGCTACACGCCAAGTACTTTCGCCACATAGCATGTGTTGCCCTGGCTAGCACCCATAACCCATTATTCATGAATCATGACACGTATTGTACCATATGCTTATTTTAAATAAAGTTATATAGAATTATAAATAGGTGAATCAGCAGAGAAACCTTATGATATATCATGCTTATCCTTTTCCTCCTAACTTCCTCTGCCTTTCGCGTCCACCACGGATTATTAATTCCTCACAAACAAGCTGCTCTTCTTCTTCTTCGCCCTTCTTGTGTTCAATCTTGGCTTGCTGTCAAAATTCATATCAGGGTTTTACTTCTCCAGTATAGAGAATGATTGTTGAGGACAACGATGCATATCAGCCTCCATGAAAGCTTCTCCAGAGTCCATCTTCAGATATCCAGTAGTACTAGTGCTCACTTCTCGTAAGTCTGTCAATATTATCAGATCAACCTCAGTTGATCTCTCTCGTGTATTCCTTTTCAGATGATGAATCCTGTGTATCAGATAGCAAGTAAGTTTCAGCATATCATACTCTGTATAATAATACCAATAAGAATGATCCAGCTATAGCAGTTTATTGTCGCCCTACATATTTAAGCTTCATTAGTATGTTAGATTGTCATCTATTATTGTTGAAGTGATGGTAGGCATAATGTGTACTTTTTTTTTTTAACGATTAAATGTCAGAGAAGCTAGCAGATATTATTAGATAGAATACTTTGCATAAAAGAACTTGAACTACCTGATGATCAATTAGATATGCAGCCTAATCCTAAATTAATATGGTATAGTACATTCTATGTGAATAATAAAAGGATCAAAGGCAACTTATATCTGTATTCGTGGACCTTCTTCTAATAGAGTAAAAAGATTAATTCTCCGTGATGAATAACTGAGCTTGGTAATTAGCCGATACTTAGTAGTTGATATGAGAGGAAGAAAGGTTTGAATGAGAAAAGGAAAGTGAAGAAGTGGGTTAGGTATCTTGGTTGATATGAGAGGAAGAAAGGTTTTAAAAAGATTCCAAGTGCTCGAGCTTGTCTTGATTGAAACAATATGTGTGGTTCTCATTGCTATTTTGTACAGATTTGCAATATGTTGGAGGAAACTGAGCAACTTTGTTGTCACACGACTTGTAATCTTGCCAGCCATTAAAATCCCTCCTATTCAGGAAAATATACAATGACCCCTTGAATCATTTTACTGGCGATAGGACCATTTCGGCCCCAAATTATTTGACCAATTATTGGCTCCCATAAGCCCACATTTAATCTTCACCAAACTGTTCGACCACTTTTTTTCACCACACTCGTGGAGAAATACAATATGCAGGAATCATTCAACCAAAGGACCTAAATTCTTGTAAAACTAATTCGTAATCATTTTTTACGATTACCAAATTTAACTGGATACTATCAAATTTTAAAATAATTACTACTAAATTTTATAGGATAAATGATTAAATTACCCCCTAAATTTTATATCTAATAACACTGTAGACCTAAATTTATTTATTGTATAAATTGTCCTTTTAACTTTTAAAAACGTTGCAATATAACTTTTATTATTAACAAAGTTAACTTTAACAGTTAATTGATTAAAAAAATATTAAAAAATGACCTAAAAAATTACCAAAAATTTTGGGTCATTTTTCACAATTTTTTAGGTCATTGTTTGTAATTTTTTTGATCATTTTTTAATTTGTAATGTTCTTATTGATCTTTTTTTATATCATTTTTTATTTTTTTTTATCAACTAATGATCAAAGTTAACTTTTGTTAATATCAAAAATCAGATTATATTATTTTTAAAAGTTAAATGAATAATTTGCACAATAAATATATTAAATGTTTATGGTGCTATTTAACCAAAAATTTATGGGATAATTTATTTATTTACCCAAATTTTATAAAAGTTACTGCTTAAGATTTTTTTTAAAAAAATAATATCCTATCTTTCCCTTCACTCTATTATTAGTATAAAAATGTTTAAATGAGTGGAGGCTTGAGAATTCATCTAACTTAAAACATGTCTTTAGACTTTAAAAAATACTAATAGAAATAATTACTGATCATGTATCAATAAAATTTTTAGACAACAAAATTTTATACCACATTCTCATAAAGTATGTATTAAATACTTATTAACTAGATTAACTTTTATTAATCCTTTCACTTTCTTTGATTTTCCTTTCACTTAAAAGGCTGTCGATTTATTGTGACTTAGCCCCGATGCAAGTTAAGTAGTCTGTTTGTTTGCTATGCCTAGGCCCTGATCCGTCATTAAGAGGGCCTCTATCACTGTATTCATTTGAGAGAATTAATCCTTAAAACGGCCCAATGATCTGTCTCTCTCTCTCTCTCTCTCTCTCTCTCACAACAAAGGAAATAAAATTCTTGAAAATTGGAAGCAATTGACACAGCTTGTTCGTTAAATTTTTGATTTACATTTGAAACTACTAAAGTATACAATGAATGGATGCGACCTGAGCATCCAATGGAGATTGAATTTTAATTTTCCCATCACATTTGTGACTATTCACATGCTAGTTTAGTGTCAAAGCTAGTCAAGCATATGGCAAAAGCCTGGAATGCCGACAGGGGATATCGATAGTCCATGGTGAACAAATCCTTGCCTACCTTGCCAAACTGAAGAATAACCTTGTCGTGATCTGCCGGGCCACGCTGTGCCGGCATTGGAGCACCGGCTGCAGGCTGCACAGCGGCAATCAGCTGGAAATTCTTGACGGAGGCCACAGTCACTCTGCCCCGGAAGTTAAGGCACCAACATTGCAGCTGCTCATGCCATCTTGGAGCCTTGTTCTTGAGAATTAGTGGCCTCTCTTTTACCTCGCCACTCTCTCCTTCGTTGCCGGTCCACATGATGTCTGAGAACCTAGAGCTGCTAAAATTGGATGAACTGCGGATCGATTTTGAAAAGGATGTACTCCGGAACGAGTCATCCATGGCACAAGGAATGAGTTCTGGCTGGCCTGGGACAGTGCCAGCAGGCTCCAGGGCTGATTCTGGGATCGAGCACATGGTGCAGTTCATCTTGCGTGGGCCTCTTGTACCAAGCACATTCAGCTCATAGATGACCTGAGCAATATTGTAGCTGCCGCTGGGGACTTTTGGAGAAACCTTTCTAGAATAGAATCGACGGCTTTGGCTAGGCGAAGGAGGAGGCAGCTGAGCAAAATTATAGGGAGGCTGTGTATCATATATTAGGAATTTGGTGCCCAGAAAATTTGACCTGAAACAAAAGTTTACACTAAACTTATTATGCCTGAAGCGTATTGAAAACAACCGTGCATGCATGAAATGTTAAGACCAGAGGACTTGATAACCTATTTGGATTTCCTTGTATCTTTGTTATCAATTGACGTGTCTAAATTTTTTAAAAAGATTAGCTCATGTAATGAAGGCTGGAAAGATTATACATTTGTCTGAAAACTTTATCACTTCTTATGTTATTATCCATGAATCTAATAATAAAAACACAAAAATTGTACTTGAGTTTCTTTGCTGAATTTATAAATGAACTTGTTGAGAAAGTAGACAAGGCACATCAGTCGGATTATGCAAAACTATTTCGTCCCAGCTAAGTAGGTCTTAAAATTACATTTAAAAAAAAAAAAGATGTAGAAAATTAATCAGGGAATCATGCATTCACCAAGCATATTGATAATATACAGTTATACACTTTATTGGCCAGAAACAGCAAATTTTTCTAGCAGACACAATATATATATATGTATATGTATGTATTAATATATATAATATTAATACATATCTGCACAATAGATGCTGCTAAAAGCTTCAAATAACAAACAAGTCATGAGTCACAACGATAGCAAACATAGACAGCCGAAATAGCATGTTTGGATTCAGGAGATTGGAATAAAAAGGAAGGGAAATGAATTTTTAATTATTCTTTTAACTTTCGATTTAAAGCTAACATTTTTTTTATTCTGTTCTCAGATATTTCTCTGATTCGAACATACTTTGAGGAAATAGATAGTTGATTTAAATCAAAACAATTCAACATGACAAATTCAGTTGCTTTCCCTTGCATTCCTCCCTATCCTAAACACTCCTCAAGGGATGTCAATGTTTGTTACACGTGCAACTAAGAGTCCTTATAAAGTAAAACTCATATCAAAGTGAGACTTTGCTAATAAGTGCTTATTTGGTATAATCCTCAGATGTAAGCATGACCAAACAGACACACACACACAAAAAGAACCAACATTATGAATCCTGACCAAAAGAAAAGAAATGCAAAAATGAATGTCTTTCTACCATTAAAAAAAGATTCCAAATAGTCATACCTCAGCTTCCCAATATAAGTGCTACTAGATCTTGATATGCTATCAGCATCCATGGATATAATGTACTCTCTGCAAGTTGTTCGTCTAGTCCGTTTAGCAGAGAGCAGAAACTTTCCATTCTCAACAAGCAAGGCTGCAAGACCATGATATGGTTTAGAATTCAAAGCACGCCCCAAAAGACAAGCGATAACTGGAACCATTTTGCCAGAACATGTTCATTGTTAACATAACTGTCAGGTCAAATAACTAGTTTTGCCTAATGGCATTTTGACCTGCCATCATGGCAGACAATTTTAAGCTATTAGAGATTATAAAAACCCTATTCAGCAGCCTTAAGTTAACAATGAGAGTTGGAAAATGGTCCTAGACATGATATGAAAACCTCTAATAACCAAGTGATGACACATGTCTCCATTAAACAGCTTAAACTTTTTAATTGCAATGGCTGTCAATAAAACCAATATGCACAGAATATGTTTGAATGCGTGGTGATGGAGGTAAAGTGAAGGATTCATCGAATCCTTTCCCTTGTCTGACAGTTTTCAACTAACACTAAAATATTCCTATGTCCTCCCTCCTTTAAATATTTAAGTGCCCCAATTTAGGAGATTTTGACGGAGACACTTTTCCATAGCAAATGAAAATATATCATCATTTCCCCATCCATTTTCCTTCATTCTTGTTCCCTTCCATTTATTTGAATCCCTTGCCTTCTCTTCCTCTTCCAACTCCCAAACATTCGCTAAATCATGTAATGGATTAACTGACCAAACCATTAGCAAATACAGAGACAAAAGCAAGACGCTGACAATAAAATAGATGAAATTGATGATACAAAAACTCACAATTTGTAAACAATAAAAGCAAGGTTGTTTGCATGAAACTTCCGAGCTTAATACAAAGACTAAATTTCACTAGCTTGTTCAATATGAACATGGAAAACCCAAATGTGGACCAAACCAAAGACCAGATCAGAACTTGGTAATCTAGTTCCAGATTGCATCAAAATAGATAATATATAATTATCATACCTCAAATGACACAAGTTAATTAAGTTTTCAATTGGTCACAAAGCAAGGAGAACATACATATGTGCACGCGCGCGCACACACATCTTTGGCAACATAGTAAGAAAAGAAGCTAACCAGGACTTAGACAAAGAAAGAGGTGGTATGTCAGGTTAGATTTGTCTCTCTTGATGGAACACTGGATCATTCCATCCCGAGGCCCAGGCTACAAGACAAGATCACCAAAAAACATTCGTTCAAACACCTTCCAAAAGAAATGCAATTCTTATCAAATACATCGTAGGCGTGGTATAAAAGATCACATATATCTCACCTGCTTCAAGGAAACAGGAAAAGTAATTTTCCCACAGAACTCTGGATTGCTTACAATTTCTTTGCACATTTCTCTCCAGGACTTGCACACAGCAGCACATGCGACCACATGCTTACGGGCAGGCCATGTGCTCTCACTTTCTTCCAATCTTTTGATAACATCATGAAGGAGCTCAGGTGGAAGGCTAGCCCAGCGGCTGTTCTGTATCACTGGAGGTTGTTCTGGCACCTCATGGACTGAACTATGTGACTTGCCCCTGTGATGGCCAGGAAGCCTTACCTCAAAACCCCGCCTAGATAAGCTTCCAAAACCATCCCTTACATCACGAACTATACTGCGGAAGGACATTTCCTCAAATACACTGACAGCCCAGAAGTTAATATGTTATCATCAACTTCACTTCAAATTCTAACTCCCCTCTCCAGTTTGCCACAATTCACAGAACCTAGGAGCGTGAAGCACCGCAGATCAAAAATACTTTAATCAGTTGTAGCTTCATTGTTAGGCATCAAGAAAAAACAAGGAAAAAAGACAGCAAGGGAAAAGCACAAATTAAAATATTTAGAATTATTTTTTAAAAAAGTAGATTCTCATAAAAGAAAGCCTCACATGGACCTAAGGGTTAAAGCAGCCTAAAATTGCAGATTTTTGTCACACATTGTTTGTGAGGTTCAATCTAAATCTAACCTCTAAAAGCAGCAGTCAAATCGAAACGATATTTTATATCTCACCGGAAGGATTATGCCCCTATCAATCTAGATGTAATAATTTCAGCGGCAACAAACATCTATTTTGTAATAGGAAACATTAAGAAAGTGGGATCTCCCTTTACCGAATGTGAACCATCATCATCCTAATCTTGCATTAGCGGAACCTAATTGCCTGATGTGTCAAGTTTTTTTCTCTTTTTTTCTTCTTCTCTTTTGCTTTTCGTGTTTGTGGAGTTACAAGACCAAGAACCAATCAAATGAATGTCTCCCACACGCACAGATACAGAAAGGCTCGCCAGCTGAAAGTAATATAACACACCTGAAATCAAGAACTTGAGTGCACCATATGAATAAGAGATATCTGTAAAGAACACACAAATATAAGAGCGCTCCACTGCAACCCAGAAATTTTTTTATATAAACCCAAAGTGGTACACACAAATAAGCACAGAATAAGAAGAAAAGTATAAAAACCCAAGAGGGGAATTTCACCAAACCTAGACTTGAAAAATGAAACTATCGGAATCTACAAAGGAAACCCAGAAGATCATGAATCGGTTTCTCGCAATCGGAGCAAGGAAAAACAGGGCCTCGATGTTTTCGAAAGAAAATATGAAATTGTGAGGCAAAGGCTAGCAATTTACTTGAGCTCTGCTTCAAAAAGAGCTCATGATCATACTTGATCAAACTCACTCTGCTTCAAGAGGGGTTTATCATGAAAGTGGAGGCTCTCTCAGCCCTACTCCCCCTCTCCCCTCAGTCATAGAGCCGCTGACTATGAAGCCACAGCGCCTTTATTGAATCCATCCAACCCTGAAGTGGAAACCAACGTAAACAGAACAAACTGCTTAATTTCTTTTCTTAATGATAACTATAAATATAAATTCAATGAATTTATAATCTTTTCGTTGATTTTCGTTCTGTGTAACTGTTTTGGTTGGTGAGCCTGGTATCCCGTGATAAATTTACGATTTTGCCCTTGAAGGTTGACTTTTTTTAAAAACATCCGCGTCGACGCGTCACTGATCTGACCGGCGCGTCACGGGCTTCCTCGGTCCAGTTCACCCTTACCTGAGGACGGTGGACGTTGGATCGTGCTTAGAGGTGCATTACATTAAAATTTAGGAAAATTATATTAAAATTTCATAAAAAATTAATTATTATAAAATTTATTAACAACTACTTACATTATATTAAAAAAATTATATTAAAATTTAATGTAAAAAAATTAATTATTATAAAATTTATTAAAAAATGTTTTAAAAATTTTATAATAATTAATTTGTTTGCATGAAATCTCGTTGTAATTTTTTCAAAAATTCAAAGAGGTGAATTTAAAAAAAAAAAAAAAAAGGTAAAGATAGACGCCACGATTTGGTCGGCCGATACGTGAGGCGGAATTAAAGCCATCTTCGAAATTTTTTAAACTTTATGTAAAACACAAGTGTGGACCCCCCAACCCCAAACAAAAATATCTATTTTCAGTGTTCAAAATCACAAGATATTTAAGGGAATATTTTAATTAAAATTTTTTAACAATCAAATTCTCTAATTAAAGGTAATTTTTTAAAAAATTAATTAAATTTTAAAATATTTAAATATTTTATAATTTTTAAAAAAGTACTTTTTTAAAAAAAATCTTATACTCCCTCCGTTCAAAAATTTAAAGCATTTTTTGAAGAGTGGGATGTTAAAAAATATAAGGTATTTTTAATCTTTCGAGATGTAATTATTATTTTTTTTCTAAATGTGTCCCAATTGATAATAATTTTATATTTATTATAGAATATTTAATAAGAGTAAATATGAAAAGATAGAGTTAATTGAAAAGTAGATAACTATTTTATTGAGGGGTGAGATTTGATTAAAAATGTCTTATATTTTTTAACAGAGAGAGTATTTTTTAAAGGAGAGAATGTATATTAAGTACACTCAATTATAGGATCGTTATTTTCTTGTCTCTACTCTCTTCAATCATGTTTTTATTTTTTTCATTAGAAACAATTTTATTTAAGACACAATTAAATTAAATATAATTATATATTTTAATAAAAATTTTAATTTTAATTTATCATGTTATAAAAAATTAATTCCTTTAATTAAATTCAACCCTGTCAATAATAATTCAACTTATTTTGTTTTGAGAGAATTTCATTAAAATTTTACATAAAAAAATTAATTATTATAATATTTATTAATTATCAATATAATTTAATTTAATTATTCATAAATATTATAATAATTAATTTTTTTATGTGAAATTTGATTATAATTTTTCCTTTTGTTTTCCACTCAAATCTTTCTTCACTCTGGACAACTGTGTCATTTTTTAGGCCTCTAAATCTAGAATCTAATAATCATGGGCTCAGAAAATGGCCATCATATGAGCTTCAGTTCATGATTCGCGAAGAATAAAGCCCAAGCCCACCAACGAAGAGTATAAAGCGGAATGAATGGATGAAGTCGCCTGCTCCTCAGTTAAACCCTTGCCTGCCTCCCTGCATGTTGTTGCTTCGTCGTCGCCGCCTCTGGTCTTTGATTTCTCTATTTCTCCTACCATCTTTATATGTGACTGATTTATTTTTATGTTTTTTTAGCGCTCCAATTTCTTTCGTTTAGTCTTACTCCCTCCCCCCCGGGGGTTTCCTCCCTAAATTGAAGCCCAATGATGCACAAATCGACCTCCATTGAGCAGTTTTCTGCGGTTCCAGTTCTTTACTTGCCTTCTCTTGCCGCTGCGATTCTTTCTCTCTCTCTCTCTTTCTTTCCTTCTTTCTCTTCTCACACACACACGCACGCACACACGTTTTGCGGTGGGTTTTGAAGGCATTTGATGAACGCCGCTAGCTTTAAACTGTGAATGATTCATCAAAGCTATGAGATCTGAGGGCATTCAGTGTGATTTGTACATTTGTGATTTTTTGAGTTCTATTTGACATCAGCTTGTTCATTTGTTGTTTTTAGGCTTGTTTTATGATTGTTTTGAAAGTCCGAATTGGAGTGGATGATGTTGCATCCGTGCTCTGAGCGGTTTATTTCTTTCTCTCTCTCTCTCTCTCTCTCTGTGTTTTTTTTTTTGGGTGCACTGTTGATGGAAATGCAGCCTAGAAAGCTATTTCTAACCTCCCCTTGCAAGTTCTGTCAGCTACATGTAAGCCACTTACATTACATATTTACTTATTCACAATGTGCTAACTACACTTTAATACTATTCTTTTGGTAATTAATCAATTCCCTTTTGATGCTATTTTGTCTTTGTTTCCATGGTGGGATTACATTCTGTGAGGCAGCTTCCTACTTTAATGGATGTTAATTAACAACCTCTAGGGCTTGTTAACTAATCTTTCATGGCTTGTTGGGGAGACTGGAGAGTGGGTATTGCATAAACCATTGTTATGATTGTCTAGAGGAAATGGTTAGGACGGCATTCCCAAACCCTCCTCCACAACATAACTCCATTCTTCAACTATCTTTCTGATTACTCTTATTATATCCTGGATAGGTTCAATGATTCTTTTTGTTGTTGTTTTTGTTTTTCAATTTTATTTCCGACAAGTCAATTTTTTATTTATAATTCCTACCATGCTAACAAGATCATCTCCTTCAAACGATTTTACATTCTGCTATTTTCCTATTGAACATCATAATTGTTGATTCTAATGTCTTCCTTTTGTCAATGGTTGGCTGTTGAACTCTCTGCATTGACATCAAGATAATCTGAGGTGGGTATGCCCTTATAAAAGAAACCAGTGAGATTCTGAAATACGAGAGCTTTGTTGGATCTCTGCATTTGTGGTTGTGGCAACCTTGATTCTAGAATGTGTTCATGTTTTCTATTTGCATTTATTTCTTTACTTGCTCTTCCATTTTTCTATTGGCTCTGATGCCCAGTGATGCACGAATTAAACCATATTGAGCAATTTTCAATGGTTTCAGTTCTCCATTTGTCTATCCGGGCCACTGCTCTCTCTCTCTCTCTCTCTCTCTCTCTATCTATCTATCTATCTATCTATCTATACTCACACGCACACACTCACTCACTGTTTTGTGGTGGTTTGTGAAGGCATTTGATGAACGGCGCCGTTGTTAAATTGTGGATGATCAATCAAAGCTATGAGATCTGAGGGCATTTTTGTTTTTTGGTTGTGTTTGATGTTACTATGTATTTGTTGTTTTGGGGCTTCTTTTTTGATTGTTTTAGAGGTTACAAGTTGTATAAATGGTGATAAGCGCACTGCGCTTTGAGCATTGAAATTCACAACCTTGACGGTTTTTTATGACTCCTTCTGCTATCTGTTAAGCTGCACGACTCATTCAACCTATCAAGTTACATGCATGTAATTATAATGGGATTTTCGTACATTGATGATTGGTATCATTTAGTTTCACATTGTACATCGTGCTCTTACTTCAGGACGGTATCTAGTATGTTATATTTGCATCTGTCCCATGGTGGAGTTGACATTCTGTATGACAGTATCAACCACCATGGCTATTAGTTTTTTAGTTCAGTATGGAGGCACAAACCATTCTTTGGACTTTTGGATGGTTATAAATGAGACGCTGCAGATGTGAACTGGGATGGCCTTTTAAGCCTGCTCACAGCCCATTTTCCAACCATTTCCGTTTGGGGATTTTGGTCCTCTTTTGTGCCTCTTTTTTCTCCCCAAGAAACAAAAACATACTGCTTTATTTCAGTGCTTTTATGTTTCTTGTTTTACTTTCCAGCAAGGTTGATATAGAAATTTTATTTTCCAGACCCATTCTATTACTAATGACATTGTTTCTTTCATATCGAAAACTAGATTCTGATCTTTTTTGCTTGAAGAAATATTTCATCGATCCATTTTCCTCGTAAACCCTTAGGCCCTTAGCATCATGGGGCAAGAGTTAATTAATTGTCTTTGAACAGTCGCCTTTGAAAGAAAGAAAGAAAACAAAAAATCGCGATAATGAGTGAGCAAATGGTGGTAAGGTTGGAAAAATATTTCTTTCCCAGGTCAAGTTAACGGGTGAACTAGTTCTTCACGGTTTTAGTGTTATGGTTCTATCTTACCCCTTTTATATCAAAGACTGAAGAAGGTAGATGCTGTGTTATCCAATTATTCATCCATTTCAGATATAGAATTATTTTTTAAATAATATTTGTTTAACATTAAAAAATTATACATAGCCTTTATAAAAATTTGGCCCCACAATGTTATCCTTGCTGGCTCCGTCCCTGCGTACATGTTTGTTCAACGTCGATGACATTTATCGATCATACTGGTCCATGAAGACAGTGCCATTTCAGATGGAAAGGCGTGGAAGGGGGAAAAAAAGGCCATGGTCTCCCATGCATCTTTCCAATATATGTACTGTGACCAAGAATAATCAAGAAGTATCTCTTTTCTTGTTCTTTTTTTATTAAATGTGTTTTCTAAACTTAAAAATATATAGTAGCACTCTTCACAGATCACATTATTATTCAAGTCATTGCATTTACACCTATATATAGTACTATCATTTTGATATCTAAAACACTTTAAAAAAAACACTGATTTAATACCTTGATTATACCTCTGAATTGTGATAGATTGTTGACCAGGTTAACTAGATACTAAAATCACATCCACAGGGCAAACCCTTGATCTTAGTGATATGAGATATAGATGTGATGGATGGTTTGAAAAATCATTAATAAATTTATTAATGAGAATCAATTAACCTTCCTCTTAAAACAATGGCCTGATATTACCCTCTAAAACATGAGCTTTAGTAAAAGGGTTGAAATTCGGGCTTCAATGCTGTACCACCAAACAATGACCCAATGTTACCCAAGGACCATTATTGGCAAATTTTTGACAAAGATCCTCGCTATTTGTCAAATAAAGTAGTTGTTTTCAAAGTCTATTAGCTCAAAATTATGGGTACCTCATATTCTAGCCAATTTTTCCTTCAACTCAGGCTGTCTCATTAGCTTTCCAAGGAGAGTGAGGATAAGAGAATACTTCCAAGCTTTGCACAGTTCTTTTAGTCTCTTGTTGGGCACTTTAAGAGTTAGGAGGCTATCAATAATCTTCTATTGTTCTGCAATCCATTTTGGTGCATTTCTAGTTTCCTCTTGCAACCATTCTTTGAACTGATCATCAAAATTCCATTCTATTACAGTAATTCTTTACCCAATAGTTTGGCTTTGTATGAGATTTGCTTGGGACGTTCAGGTTCTGTCTCTTTCTTCTCGTTCTTTCCTTCAATGCTTTTTTCCATAACCACATCTTGTTCTACTACTTCTGATTTGCCCTTCATGACTACGTCATCATCCAGTTTCTTGGTGATTCGCTGGACGTCCTCCTCTTATGACGAACAAACTCCATCACTGTCATCACCTAGAATGGTAGAGCTAGTCCAACCACTAACCCTAGCAGACCCTCTCTCACTAATTTTCTCACTCATTCATACACGCTTGCTAAAATTGAACCACTTTCAACTTTCAAGTTTTCATTCAATTGTTTCTTTTAAATAAGAGAATTAGCCCTCTTGTTCACAACATCATTTATTTGGGACAACACGATCAACTATCAAGAAAGGTATTATGAATGGTAATATACTAATGTAAGCGACCAGAACGACTTAGCATACAGTGGACAACAGCCAGTACTATAGTACGATTGAAGTTTAAGACATGACTAATGAATAGAGGTTGCCTTAGTTTGAGGGCAGTCTGAGACATGTCTCGTTCAACTTAATTGCCTTAATTAAAGTAGCTACGTTTTGTTGCTTTCTCTTCTTGTGTGCCCCTACCATATTGCAAAGGGCACCATTCATCAGGTGCTAGCTAACCAAATGGTTCACATTACATTCTACCATATTGAACTTAATTAACCTTGAAAACACCAAATCTATAACTTACATTTCAACAAACCATGGATGGGTTATTTGAATATCGTTGAGTTGAATCATAAAACATGACGGGATAATTATGCAATTTTTTACTTTACATAAATTTCCTTTGAAAAAACATACATTTTTCTTAAATTTTCCTTGAAATTGTATAAAATCTGTGTTTTAAAAAATTATTATTTATATACACCAATGCATTGAAAAAAAAAAATCAATGTTAGAGAATGCACACAATAAAAATGCATGGGATTCATAAAGCAATTTGAAGTGAAGGTCAGAACATTTTTGTTAAATGAAAATGTAAAGTTATATTAATAATCACTTATATACATCATGCAATCAAAAGCTAACCCAAAAAATAAAAAATCATAGGAGTTTCTTTGATCATTCATCACCTCCATGCATTCATGTAAGCAATTTATCAAAGGTACAAAAATAAGACGAATGTAGTTTGCTTTATGTGAAGAGCGAAGACACTTTGCTGAACATCAAGTGGATATGTGAGTTGTGGAGGAGGAAACATACTTGAATGAGTTGCACTGGATGTTAGGACATATGCAAGAATGGAGTCATGGACTCGAACTTTGTTTTGATTCACACAACAAACGCACACACGTCACGTACTTAAAAATAAGCAACACATAAATATGGAATCAAACTAACTCAAGGCTTATTATAATATTAATTCAGTCACAATGGAGCTACAGAACTTAACGAAAGAAGAGTTAGAAAAGGGGAAAAGGGACAACAGAAAGAAGGTTCAAAGAGGAGTGAGACATATCATATCAAACTCATACCCCTTATTGGGCACAAACCCACCCTTACATAACGTCCCTAGTTCCCTAGTCTCTCAACTTCCATGGGACACGCTTGGAACGGTTACTCTTTCTCAAAATAGTGGGTCTATTGCCAACCATGTGAACGGAGCTATTTCTCTCCACATTTCTAGCAGTGTGTCAATCTGAGACCATTTCACGTGAACCACTAGTGGCCAAATCTTATCCATCACTTGCGATCGGCCCATTCATGATAACACACTCATAGAGAATAGGGCAGAGGAAGGAAGTTTGAATTTAAGAATGAAGCATGAAAAATAAGAAGCTGGTTCCTCATATAGCTTTCATTCATAAAGCACAAAGTGACAATGTGTGAAATAAGATTAGATAATTATTCCTTCCCTTATTTATTCAAAATGATGGGAGAAAATCACACTTGAGAACTTGAGAAAAACACACGCAAAGGCCTAGATTTTCTCATATTTTTTGATAAAGCCCTATTCTATAATTGAGCTTTTATTTGAACATGATCTATCAATGGTGGACTCGGCTGAATGGCCAATGGGTGGATTAAATAACAACACTAATTTTTACAAAAGATTATTTATTTTTTAAAATTACAGTGAAATATATAAAAATATTGAAGGGATAAAAATAAAGAGGTGCATAATCAAAAAGGAAATTACATCAAACTAAAGAGCAACTCATGGAGGTCAATATCCTAATCTTAAGTGGCATCTATATGACAAGCAAAAGGTCCAAATTTAAGGACTATGTGTCGTGATCAATTAGATTTTTATTCATTCATTTTTGTGTATGATCTATTTAAATAAGATTTTTTTTGGATTTGGAATATTTTATCTGTTAAGTTTAAGTCTTATTAGTTTGTAAAGTCTATTAGATACATTACTTTAGATTTATGAGGTGCCAAATAATAATCTCAAACATATAATTATATCTTTGAATTAGTTTATATGAGATGCCTCCTTGTCTTTAGAATATTTTAAAATGATTTTTTTTTTATGTTTAGAGTTCAGAATTTTTTTCAATTTAAAGGGCAAGTTGTATTTATTTATTTTTTCTTATTGAGCTTCTTTGAAATTTTTGTACCTGTGGCTTCTTTATTCTTAATAGAATACTTCTAGGTTATAAGTGTCTCAACAATTTTTGTTGTGGTTGTTATTAACTAAGGATCTAGAAACAAGTTTTTTTAGATTGTGTTTGGACGGATGAGATATAATTTGGGTTGAAAATTTAAATTTAAAATATTATATTTAAAATCTTACATTTAAAATTCATAGATTTTAAAATTTTTATTTAGATGATATAAAAAAATTTTAAATTATAATATTAAAATTTTTTATTTAAATCTTAAATAAAATTTTAAATTTGAATTTAAAGGTATCTTAGATGACATTGGAATTGGCTTAAATACAAATCCATATGTAAATAAATATAACATTAAGGTTTTAGTTAATCATATTTTTTGTGTTTTCAAGTTTCCACTCTAACCTATTTTGTTGTTCCTAGGCTCTCCAGACAGGTTGCTAGAGCATCATATTAGTAACTCTGTTATTTGTCATCCGTGGATGACACAAATAGCTGCAAAAAGTGATGGATAATTTTCTTTTCTTTTTTTTTTTTTGATACAAATGATGGATAATATTGTCCATCGGTTTTAAATACTGATTAATGATTGGATGCAACTAGTCCTTTAGGCCCATCCGGTGAACATAAACGGAGAAAACAAAAAGCATTCAAACAGAGTAAAAGAGGGGCAAGAGGCAGAAGCCCAAAATAGCCCGTTTTTGTATTTATTAACCCTATAGTGCCAATGGCCCATAGCCATCCGGCTCCCCCGCCCTGGTGTCCTTAGGCTTCTCTGCGAAGATTTTCTTCCGAGCTTTCTTGCCACCGCCGATCTCAAAATCACAAGGACAAGGGTTTCTTGAAGTGCCTGCCTGCCATTGAATCTTGCTCTGTGGATCTCTCCATCTTCGGATCGTTACGTTGAGGCTGGTAAGTCTTTGCGAATATTTCCTTGTTTTGGAATCCTGATCATCAAATCCCGATCTGACCTTTCTCTGTCAATTTCATGCTTGTATCTGCTTGCTTTGTGCTGTTGGATTGGTGATGTTTCCGAACTTTGGTCGCTTGGTTTAGTTTCCTGATGTTCTGCTTGTTTTCCGTTTAATCTCTGGAAATAATCTGAAATTTCGTGTTTACAATTATTTAAGATAAGGGGTATAATGTGGGAATATAGAAAGTTTGGGTGATTAAAGAGAAAAAGAAAGAACTCTGATAATGATAATATAAAATAGTGTTATAATCTCATTATTTGATTGTTTTCAAAGATTTGGTAAGATTGACAAAATTATTTCTAAATCATATAATCCTTCTCAAATATGATCCCCCAACAAATGCTTGGAGAAGAGAGTATGCTAACTTTATGAACTCCTGTCTCTGCCTTAGTTAATGTTTAGGTTGTTAAATTCATATTGTGGCTTGTGCCTTTGTGGATGGGTATTGTGAAAGGGGTTTCGGCTGGTTCTTTACATGTTGCCAAGACAACCCTTTGTTGTGGCGTTAATGTGATCAATTTTGATTTTTGGAAACTTGTCTGTACTACCAGCTCAATTACTACAATTTTTTTTTTTGGGGGTTATCTTTGGAATTTCGTTTACTTTGTAATGTCATCTATTTGAGAATTGATACAGTTGAATGGTTAAACTTTTATAAGATAACTAGTTAGACTTAGAGGACTGGCTTTTAATATATTTCAACTTGTTTGCAGGGAACTTTGATGCAATTGTTGTTTGTGATTCACACGAGGACATAGAAGATGTCAAGTAAGAAGGAAGAGAAAGCTCAGGCTGCGGCTGAAAGAATCAAGGCTGCAGCCTTGAGTGCTGCTAAAGGTCTTAGTCGTGCCCAGGCTGAACGTGCAGCAGCTGCCGCAGCGAGAAATGTGAACGCATATGGTCAAAAGGAAGAAGGGCCTAGCAGATGGCAGGAGAAAAGGGAAGCGAAGAGGCAAATGTATTTGATGAGTACCGAGAAAGCTGTTAAATTGGGAGAAAGAAAAGACCTCAAGCCCACCATGTCAACTGTTGGCAGCTCGGCCCAGTGCCAAAAGTGTTTCCAAAGTGGTCATTGGACATACGAATGCAAGAACGAACGGGTCTACATATCACGACCATCCCGTACGCAACAACTTAAGAATCCTAAATTGAGGGTGAATGTTTCTGTGACTTATGATTTGGATGATAATCCTGTCTCTAAGGATGAAAAGGTTGGAAAGAGTTCTAGTTCTAAGAAAACCAAAAGGAAACATCGGTCTGATTCTGATTCTGATAGTGGTAGTGAGGATTCAGTTTTTGAGACTGATAGCAAGTCATCATCAGTTACAGGTTCATATTATACTTCAGATAGTAGTTCAAGCTATAGTTCGTCCTCTGATTCAGAGGAAGAAAGGAGGCGAAGGAGGAAGAAGAAGGTACAGAAAAGGGGAAGGCGAAGAAGGTACAGCACATCATCAGAATCTTCAGATTCAGTTTCAGACTCTGACTCTGATTCTGATGATCGAAGGAGCAGGAGAAAGCGCAGGCACAGTCGAAGGCGCTAAATAAAACGGTGGGATATGAAATGAAAGAACTTTGTGCTTGTTGTGGTTTCGGTTAATGACGTAAGCTTTGTTCTATTTTGACATGTTTTAGTTTGGTATATTAAATCATGTTATCTTGAAGATTTTCAGGAGTCAGATTTGATCTTTCTCATTTTTTGGTTGCTTCCTTCTTGTGAAATGTGAGATCTTGGAAGACGTTCAGAAGCTAGATTTGATATTCTCATTTATTTCTCTGCACGAATAAAAACATTTGAGTCTTGAATCTCGTCGAGCGAAATTAAAGAAGTGGTTTCCACCATATATGATACACCTTCATGCTTGATATTTGTTCAAACAAGTGTAGCTTTTAGAGGTAACAACCGATAGATAATACATGAATCTCCATTTGTCATCAATTCCCGCACGGATCATATTTCTTTTGCGTTGGGACTTTAATCCTGAAAAATTGCAATGTTTTATTTTTTATTTTTTTTGAGATTCTTCAATTTGAAAGTTACAAAACTTGGGTTCTTTCTTCTTATTTGGAATATTTTATTTTCCCTAATCATTGTGTATGTGGGTGTGTCTATATATTAATATTCTATAGGATGGGCAATTGAAGTTTTGAGATATTTGCATACGACTTTTTTCATTTTTTTAACGTTTAAAATTAACGCACATAACTTTTTATTATTTTTCAAAACCTCTTATCATTAGTTAATTGTTATTTTATTAATATAGTTATTAGTATATCATATTATTGGAATATACATGCCAGAGAACGTGGAAAAATATTTTTATTATTTCTTAACACAATTTAAGGAGGGATAAAATTGTAATTTCATTTTTTAACATACATGATGATACTCTCATTTTTTTAATTGGGTTACATTGTTTTCATTGTTCATAAGTAATATAATTTTAGAGAAAAATTATAATTTTATTATTTTTTATCAATTAAAATAACATTTTATATTAGACAAATTAAAAAAAATATTTAAAAGTTATCATTGGTAAGAGTCATATAAACTTTATTATCTGCTTTGTTTATTGTCTTCGTACTCTTATTTGTTTGTGATTGTTTTTTTAAATGAAGTTTTCAATACTTATTCAAACAATAAAAAAAATATTATTAATATGTTACAAATGAAATGTGTGCAGTTTTAGAACAAGATATTTTTTTTCCCTCCTGGTGTTTTATATTGATTTTGTTAAAAATAACTTGTAAAATGTCATAATTTTCTTGTATTAAATGATAACGACATTTTTAAATTTTTTTATTTATTTAATATAAAATATTGTTTTAATTGATAGAATATATCAAATTATTTTTTTTTTCAAATTGTGTCTCCCATAAATAATGTCGCTTAACTAAAATATATATATATATATATATAAGTATTATCATGTATATTAAAAGTAAAAAATATAAATTGTTATCTGCTTTGATAGATATATATATATATATATATATCAACTGCTGATTAATTAATGAACACCTAAAACTTGACAATGAGCTGTCTTTGAAACTTGTGATAAAACGAGAAGATGCCTTCAAAGGAAGATAAACTTGTCTATGGGCAAGTATATAACAAGCCAAGTTTGATCATGCAATAAATAAAGTTTCATCCGATGTTAAGCATTCAGTAGCGCTTGCATCATCCCCAGAATTGCAGAAAACACACATTACTGGAATGTATTTATCCTAAACCTTTAGAACATATAAAGAAATTATAACAACGCAAGAAGATACTGAATATCCCAATGATAATGATTACAAGTCTCCCCAATTTTACATATAGATGTACATGGTGTTACTTGCTATCTTTATTCAATATTACTAGTGCTGATGTTAGTCACCAGCTACTTCTTAGGACTCAAGTCCGTGAATTTGGGACCCGGCTGCTCCTTGGATGGTTGATCAGAAGTTGAAGGCAGCATGGGAAGCTGAGGTTGCTGTTGAGCCTGCTGGGATTGACGATTAGCTAAACGATGTAAAGCCAACTGAGAAGCAAACTCGGAGGCAAGCTCTTTATAAGACTTGTTTTTATAAGCTGTCATACGTGCATGACTTTTCTTGAGGTACTTCAGTTGTACCCTCAATGCTTCGTTGAGTTCTGTAGGCACCGATAAGTCTGTCTATGTTAGTATACGCGAGTTAAACATAAGAACACCTAGAGAATAATCAAGACATTATCAAACAAGTCGTGTTTTCTTCTCAACATGAACCTATTTTGAAGATATAGCAGGCAAATCAATTTTTTCACTGCATTCTGTTCATTCAACAATGACTAGTGATGGCTAAAATGAAAACTTGGGACTCAAGCATACGTTGTCTAAGCTCTGTCTCTCCGTTGATTGTCTCTGTTTGCAACTTAATCTGCCTATTCTCAGCATCCATATGCCTATTGCATCCCTGCATTGGACGTGACACAAATTAGTTTGCTTGATCTACAATAAGTATAAATATTTCTTGAAACAAATGATAAGTCGTGCGTCTTGAATCTTGTCTCAGGTGAAAATGTGTTAGGGATTTCCACCTTACAGGCAATTCAGCATACTGTACTTGTCTAACATGCATAGCTTTTAGAGGAAACAACCGAAACATCGTGTGTTCTTAGAAACACCAATCTCCATGATTATGGAAGAGAGGATCATAGACCTCTGCAGCCATAGATGAAACAACTGATGAAGATATCTTCGGCTAGAGTTAAAAACTTCGTGACGTGTAAAGTTGCTAACCAAACTTTAGTATTTAGACAAAAGTGGAAGTATAGAATTTTCAAAATACACAAATGTAAAGTAACATCTTCGAAGACAAAGCATATAACGCGGGAGGAATAGGAAACTTGCCTCCTCCATGAAATATGTTACCATGGACATGTTTCTCAGAAGTTTCTCTGTAGAAACCCAGACAGACATAGTTAAAAAAACTTGTGGATACATGCAAATGGATGGGATAAGACCAATATAAACCGATGACAAAACTGACTTTTTCAAAGCAAAAGCCAATTTGATCATCCAGAATGAATGCGATATGAAAGTTTGATAGTATAATCATGCATCAATTAAAGGTTATTACAAGAATGACTCCAAGTGACCTTTTTTTTTTTTTTGGGCACGCGCGCGCGCTATAACGGACTATAACTGGGGGAAAAAAAAAAGAAATACATATATCTTTACATAAGAGTCTTAGACACATTGCAGTAGTTGTATGGTTCCACTTCCCAAATAAGAAAAGAAGATACTGAAAACCAAATGACAGATAAGAATGCGCATAACTTGTCAGCCCCGTAAGTAGTGTTTAGTGAGTAGAAAAATACTTTAGACATGAATTGAGAAGTGCACCTGCCCCATTTTCCTTCTAGATACATTTATCATTTTCTTTTTAGAAATGAAATGAGAAATGCACCTATCTTATTTTCTTTCTAGATACATTTCTCATTTTCTCTTTAGAAAACACTTTTTCATGTGCCAAACACAGGCTAAATGTACTTTTGAGTACCAAAATCTTCTCTCCTGATTTTGGACTTGCCAGCATAAATCAATAGTTCAGTATCACCTTTTTACCAAACTCCATGAGCAAAAGTGAATGACAGAACTCATTTGACTCAGGCAAAAGGAATAGATTATGGCGTGAACAAGTTGTACCAAATCTCTATTTTTCTTCTTTCTAAATGAAATTCCAAAATCAATTTATTTTAGGGTTTATGATTCTCACTTTCAGAAAAAGATAGAGACTTGATTATCGGACTAATCAATATCTCTACTCTAACGGTAAAGGATAATAATTAGTTCTATAAAATAAATGAAACATGGCTTTTCCGGTGCTCAATTCACAGGGAAAAAAGGCACACTTGTAATGGATACCATCTATAGCCCATCAGTCTCATAACTTCTCACAACTTCAATAATGTAAAGTGGTAATGTAATTTGCCTTCGTTACCTCAATGTTTTCAAGGACCGTTTGGAGCATTTCCGATTCTGCAAACTTGATTTTTAGTTCATCCAAAACACCATTAACAGTATCCTCCTCTATTTCTTCATCTGAATCAAAATTCAAATTGCTCGAATCAGGATCCATGGCTGATTCAATGTTAGACTTAGGTTTTGCTTTTGACAAATTCGAGTCAGACTCATCTTTATAAGCCACCATGGCTTTGAGTGTGACTCCGAAGATATCAAGATTAGAATATAACTCAAGCAATGACAGACAAATGTTTAGTTGGCAACGGTTATAAATTTTAACTGGTCTCCATTATTCAACCCATGGTGCAATGTACACAATTAGTTAACTTTTGGCCCCAAGAAGTTCATGAATTTTCGGATACAACTTTTAGTGCAAAGTTGATTATTTGGGGGCAGCTAAAAAATTATTGATATTTTAGCTATTTAATGTTCGTACACCTTATATAAAGGGATTTGAGCCCTTTGTTCAACATGTTGTCATTTACTAATGAAGTTGAATTTAATAGAAGTGATTAGTTTCTTACAATATGAGTGAACTAATGTTCGAATACTCACTAAACGAAATGACCATATCCAATGCTTAACCTTGCCTTGAACTTGGCTGTCTCCAATAGGAAGATACTAATACGCGCAGGAGGAGGTAAGTACATTTGGTGACTGACAATGTTTCAAATATGATTGTCTTCAATAGGAGAATCCATGCATAATAAAAATTTGGGGGGTTAGGCCCTTCATTAATTTGATTGAATTTCAAATTAAATTTGTCTTTCATAAATATATTTTTTTCATTTTTTCTACTATAATAAGTACTAGTTCCTATATATTTTTATCTTTTTCCAAGAACCAGCAATAACTTATTAACCTAAAGATGATCAAGATGTGAATATGAGTTATTCACATTCATAGATAATAAGATGAGTTAAAAGCGCATATCCCCTCTTTTGTTTATTTTGAAGGGTTAAATGATAAAAATGCCTTGAAACTTTTTCTCTGAAGGTACTTGGCATCCTAAAATTTTTTAGAGCATTTTTGCCCCAAAAATTTCAAAAAGAGAGTATTGTTGCCTTACTATTAAATATAAAGAACGTTGATTGTTAAATTAAAGTTGACCTTAGGTTAAATGGTATATTTATCCTGAAATTTTTTTTTCGGAGGTGCTAAATATCTTTAACTTTTATTTGGAGCTTATTTGCCTTGAAACTTTTAAAAATGAAGCAATTTTGCACTCCCTTCTTCTTCATCATCCTCTTCCTCCTCCTCCTCTTCCACCAGCAAGCTCCTGCTCACCCCTTAAAAATGGCGGCTCAAGTCCAT